TTGTGTGTTTGGGGGGGGGGGGTCAACAGTGGGAGGGCTTCTAGTGTCCTGGCCCCACTGGTGGACCTCCTGATGGCACCTGGTATTTCTGGCCACTGTGTGACCCAGAGTGTTGGACTGGATGGGCCTTTGGCCTGATCCAACATTGGCGTCTCTTATGTTCTTATGTTCTTATGAATGGCTACCAACAGAAGGAAGAAAAGACATTCAGGGTAAGATTCGGACCTGGGGGGGGCCGTGGCTGGGAATAAAGGACTAACGCACTGGAATAGCAGAGGGGGGAGGGTTAAAAATCAACACGAAATGTACGGGTAAAAAGACAATTACTAAAATTTCAATATTTTTTTTAAAAAAGATGAAGTTATGGTGGAGAAATGACTTGACGCGCGTGATGATGCAAGCCACATTTCTGAAGCGAGGGGGGTCTGGGTCTTTGTCACTCACGGCCTAACAGGAATTCCCTTCTGAGAATTCTACGGCTTGGATCATGCTGGGTTCCCAGCCTGCCCTGACTTGGATGGCCGAGGCTGCCCTGACCGCACCAGACCTCAGAAGCTAAGCAGGGTCAGGCCTGGTGAGTACTTGGATGGGAGACCGCCAAGGGTTGCTGGTGCAGGGAAGTCCAGGCAGGCGATGGCAAACCGCCCCTGAAAGTCTCTTGCCTTGAGAACCCTGCAGAAGAAGTGCCGACCGCTTTGACCCTGCAGGATCCTTCAGAATCCTGACCCAGTGGGGTGGGCACAGCCACAACACGGCTGCCGCAACAGTGGCTACCACAGCTTGCCAGCGAAGACACTTTTGCTTTGGTGGGTGGCACAACTGCTGCTGAAGCAACGTGCTTGAAAATGTGCACACGCAATGTTCCCTCTAAGCTGTGGAGTCTTGTGAGCAAAAATTGTACTTTGTGAGCTACTGGCATTAACGCTGTGAGCGAGCGATTTGGCTACTGCATCAAGTAGTTTGCTCTGGAGCCCTCCTTCCTGAGCAGAGACAACAATGTGTGAGCCAGAGGCTAAAAAACTGTGAGCTAGCTCACACTGACTCAGCTTAGAGGGAACACGGGTGCACAGCCAATCAAATCTTCAACAATCAGGAGCCTTGCTGGGTAAAAGCCAATCCTGGCCCCGCCTACTCTAAAAAAACACTTTTGTCGGCACCGGGAAAGGTGCTGGCGGGCACAGTGTTGGGGACTCAGCGTTCCCTCTAAGCTGAGTAAGTGTGAGCTAGCTCAATGTTTTTTAGCCTCTGGCTCACACATTTTTGCCTTCGCTCAGGAAGGAGGGCTCCAGAGCGAAACTAATGTATGCAGGAGCCAAACGGCTTGCTCACAACTTTAATGCCCGGAGCTCACAAAGTAGAATTTTTGCTCACAAGACACCGCAGCTTAGAGGGAGCATGGGTTGGGTTCCCCCTAAGTTGGCTGCAACTTGAAGGAACTTTCCACCACCCTGTCTCCCTTCTCCAACTGCAGCCGTCTGCATGCCTCAAGCGTCAGTGAATCCTCTGGAATATGACGGGGGTCAAAGTGGAGGGGGCGGCCTGCAGGGCAAAGGGAGACCAGGCAATAACTGCCTCGCTCTTTCTTCTGTGAGCGGAAAGGCAGCTTAGGATCCAAGCCTACGCACATCGCCCTGAGTTTGTTGGAAGAAAAGCGGGGGAGAAGTGTAAGATGAAACATACTACAAGCCAGGGGTCGTTTCCTGCGGGAGCGCATAGGAGCGGAGCTCTGGCAGTAAAGAGCCCTGCTCCCAGCAGCCCTCAGTCAGAGCAAGAAGCAGCCAAGTAAGTTGCACAGCTCCCCCCGGCCCAAAACAGTCCAGTGGCACCCTTAAGACCAAGTTTTTCAGGCACAAGCTCTCCCTCCTCTGCGAGGACAGATCTGCACATCCCCGTCCCCCCACCCAATAGCTAGCCATCCAAAACAGTCCAGTGGAGCCTGAGCGGTGGGTGTTGCCTTCTGACACACTTCTGGCGATGTCGGGGTGTGGCATATGCAAATAAGTTATGCTAATGAGCTCCTGCACCTCTTTTTCTACGAAATGACCCCTGGTACAAGCAAAACACCTGCTGTGACAACCACGTAATGTCCAACAAGTTGGCTTTGATACTGCTTTCTTCTCAGCTGTGCTTTCGTATGCGAAAAGCTAGAACGCATGCAGATAAAAGTTCAAAACAAAATGATTCTTTTTAAAAAGAGGAGCGCTCTCAGAGGCTCAAGACTGGGAGAGGAAAGCGATAAAGGCTTTTTTTTTTTTTAACTTGTTTGATGATTCTTTGCCCCGAACAAAGACAGAAGGCTTATAAATAATAATCCCGCCGTTATTATCTTGCAATTAACTGTAAACGTCATTTGATGTTTCTATTCACAAGCGGGGAATGGGTACTTTGTCAAAAATAAAGTTGGGGAATGCGAACTGCGAGCGCGGGTGCTGGTGAAAGAGTTCAGAAAGAACCCCCGCTCTCACCTGCAGGGTTCGGCGGCGTCTCCCTGATTGTATGCAGCACCTTCATATCCCGAATGTTGTGTATGTACAGAGACTCTTCTAGGCATACTATCAACCTCTGGAAAGGGAAAATTAGGGAGGAAGAGGAAAGGAAAGATTAAAAATGCAGCAGCAACACAACCTTGCGGAGTTAAATCTCTTAGGCATACTTAATGGGCTTACCGAAGTGTTACAATGCCTCTCCGTATGGTTATGCTCACACAGTTTAAAAAACGGGGTCGCTTTAAATCCGGCAGCCTTTTATTTATTGATTGAATTCGATTTCTTGACCGCCCTTCCCTGCTTATGAGGAGCTCAGGGCGGTTGACAACAGTTAATTCAGTACATTATAACATCAATTGAAACGATAAAATCCCAATATTGAAACATTCAGAGACATTTAAGCATTGAGAAACAATTTAAAACAAGATGGCAGTGCTAGCCTTTAGTCATGGAGGGGAGGGTGCCGGCCAGATGTAAGGAACCGTCGCTGACCTCTGCCCAAGGCCTGACGGAACATCTCTGCCGAAGGTACGTAAGTCCCTGACCGTTCAGGAGGAGGAGGAGGAGGAGGAGGAGATTGGATTTATACCCTGCCCTTCACTTGGAGTCTCCGAGCGGCTGACAAACTCCTTTCCCTTCCCCTCCCCACAACAGACACCCTGTGAGGTGGGTGGGGCTGAGAGAACTTTTGACAGAAACTGCTCTTTTTCAAGGACAGCTCTGACAGAGCTTGTGACTGACCCAAGGTCACATCAGCAGGTGCAAGTGGAGGGGTGGGGAATCAAACCCGGTCCTCCCAGATTAGAGTCTGCACACTTAACCACTACACCAAACTGGCTGGTTCAGGGCTTTGAAGGTAAGCACCAAAACCTTGAATCTGATCCGGTGCTCCACCGGCAACCAATGCAGTTTGCGCGGCACTGGATGCATATGTGCCCTCCGTGGGGCTCCCGTGAGGACCCGTGATTTCAACAAGTCCAGGCAAACTTTTTCTCCCACCCAATCTTTCAGGCAGGCCACCTATAACAACTGGCCGAACCAAATGTACTGGCTTGGTATTTATGATGCCTTCCATTGGGGGGGGGGGGGCGCAAAATCTGGCCCTCCAACTACTTTGGCAGGAGCACCAGTTGCCTGGAAGGTGGGTTAATCTAGGGGGCAGATGCTGCCGCTAAAAGATTACATCGCTCGAGGGCCATTACGAGGAACGGAGCAGGTTGCATCTGGGCCTCCGCCTGCTTTTGAGGGCTCCGGGCTGGACGCTGGCTCTTCCTGTTTCCAGGGCTGGCACGGCTGAAGACAGGAAGAGCCAGATTCGAACCTGGAGGCCCCAAAGCAGGTGGAAACCCAGCTGTGGTCTGCAGGCAGCCCTGCTCCCCCTCCTCCTGTTTTTCTGTTTCTCTCTTCCAAGCCAGGCACTTTTGTACTCTGTGACCGAAGGGAGCACGAATTCCACATGACAAACGTGAAATCAATGCATCATCTCCACCCTCAAGGCCCCAAACTGTCGAATGACAATTTCGTGAAATGGGTTCAGCTTTTTGCCTGTGGTGAGAGGGATCAGGTTTGCCAACATGTTACTCCACGCAGTATGTGAAGTGGGGGGAAACGGTGAAAGCTGGGGGAAACGGAGGAAAACCTGGCAGGCAACTTGGTCAAATATGTGCTAATTAGCACTTAGGTACTAATCTTAACTTTTTCACATTCCTCAGTTTTGGGGATTTGACCGCAAGATGCTCCAGAGCAGGCGCATAACTTATGCTCGGCGAGACATATTTTTAAATGCTGGAGTTTTGGAACGTAACCCACATTAAGGTTCAGAACCTTACTGACTGCGTGTTGCGCTTGGACCCTATGACCGTGTTGGCTGGATACACGACGGTGAACACGGCACGCTTTCACAAAAACATAATGCAGGACTGGTTACTCTGCAATGGAAGAAGCCAGAGCCTCCCTGATGATCAGATTCAGAAAGCCTTGGGGGGGCTTATTCCAAAAAAACAGTCACAACCAAAGCTCTCTCTGAGCAATTAGTTTGCTCTGGAGCCATCCTTTCTGAGCTAAGACAAAAATGTGTGAGCCGGAGGCTAGCAATCCAAAACAGTCCGGTGGAGCCTGAGCGGTGGGTGTTGCCTTCTGACACACGTCCGGTGATGTCAGGGGGTGTGGCCTATGCAAATTAGTTATGCCAATGAGCTCCTGCACCCGGTTCTTAGGAAAGACCCCATCACTCACCTGCCTGTTCAGCTTGACAGCCAGGATCGTGTTGGAATAGCTGTAATTGCAGATCTCCGTCCCCTTCTTGAAGTGGCAGACTTTCAGCTTGCGGGGGGCCTTGAGGCTCACGATAGCCACCAGGCTACTGGAGAAGAGCCGCTCCACGATGCACACGTCTTCCGTGTCGGCTGCGAAGGGTTAAGAAGGGAGGGGGGAATCATCGAATGTCACCGCAAAGATATTTCACGGAGTGAAGCAGGAAGGTTAAAGCGGTCGGGGCTCTTTCACTAGGAGAGACGACGACTGAGGGGTGACACGGTAGAACCGGGGCGGCCAAACAGCAGCTTGGGAGCCGCGTGGGGCTTTTTCACGCGTATGGTGCGGCTCCCGGCGGGGCAGCCGGGGGAAGTGGTAGGGGAGTGCTAGGGGAGCGGTGGCACAGTGGGTATATCCCACCGTCTTAACATCCGAACTGTGTCAGTTCGAGCCCCGCGCTGGTGTGAGCGGCCAGCCTGTCGTCCCCAGCTCATCGTCCACCCAGCGATTCGAAAGCCTCGGCGAGTAGATAAAATGGGAACCACCCCTTAGAGAGGGTGGGCACACCGACTCCCTTCCGGGAAGGTGTTAGCTCTCGGTTGGAGACGTCCTGGTCTGGACCTGGAAGGCGGAAGAATCTACTCAGCTAAGAAAAATCCCTGCAGTGGGATGCTCCGGCCAGGCGGTGGCAGTGCGGCGATGCAGCTGTTCGGAACATGACTGAGTCAAGCCAGAAACGTTTCCACCGGGCAGTACGGCGTGTGCAACTTAAAAAATGAATTATATGTTGTCTCCCCTATCCCCTATGAAAAACATTGTTAGTCCCCTGTCTAAAGAGTAACTGTAAATCACTTTGAGCCCACTTGTGGGGAAAGCGATTAATAAATCGAAAGCATTATTATTTATTTATTTATTTAAGTGAAGGAGAGGCATGCCCCTCCCTGGGTAGGCTTGGGGGAGGGGACAGAGAAAGAAAGCAACTTTAACTTTAAATGAGTTCTCAAAGTCCCCCCTGCCAATCGGCTAGCCCCCCCCCATCGATTTGCTTTCTTTGTTTCTCTCTCTCTCCCTCTTTCTCTCCAACTCGTTCATTCTTTCTTTCTACCCCCTCTCTCTCTTTCTCTCCCTCTCTTAAGACAAACATCATTAGCAGTCAAATAAATATCATTGGACAAATGATAACGATATCTGGGTTTTTTTACCTCTTTTGTTTTTATTCTTGGCAGCCTCATTTAATGTTAATAAAAAGCAAATCGGCATATTTTTCAATAAAGAAGTAGATGTAATATTTGCTCACGTCTCGGGGCTCTGAAACATCTGACGTTTATTCTGTGTGGCTCTTAACGCTAAGCAAGTTTGGCCACCCCCTGCAATAAAAAGGTAAAGGTTCCCCTTGCTCAAAAGCCAGTCGAATCCGACTCTAGGGTTGTGGTGCTCATCTCCGTTTCAAAGCCGAAGAGCCAGCGCTGTCCGAAGACGTTTCCGTGGTCATGTGGCCGGCATGACTAAACACCAAGGCGCACAGAACGCTGTTCCCTTCCCACCGAAGTGGTACCTATTTATCTACTTGCAATTTCTTGCTTTCGAACTGCTAGGTTGGCAGGAGCTGGAACTAGAGATGGGAGCTCACTCCATCATGCGGCACCCGGGTTTCGAACTGCTGAACTACTGACCTTCCACAGCCTGCAGTTCAGTGTCTTAACCACTTGAGCCACCACAGCTCCTGCAATAGAGGCTTACAAAACTATGCACGGGATAGAGTAGGTGACCTCTGGGATCCCTACAAACTCTGTGTCAAGAAACCGGTCTCCTTTAAGAGAGCTTTTCCTGCCTAAGTGTTAAGCTTTCTTCCGACAGAAGTCATCGCCCCCCACCTTCCAGCTTGTTATCAGAATTGTTGCTTAGTTGCTGGCAGGAGTGACTAACTTGCAGCAGCTGAGAACTGTCATCTAAAGTGGTTGACAGCTTGAAATTTAGAGATCTATCCTGGTAACAGTTTTTCTATTTTTTTTAAAAAAATTATTCAATCTATTTAAAGCCCTAAATGGTCAGGGGGCCTGCCTACCTGAGGGACCGCCTTTCCCCGTACATTCCCCCAAGAGCACTGCGGTCTGGAACACAACACCGCCTGGCCCTCCCTGGTCCTAGGGACGCCAGGTTGGCGGTAACCAGGACCGGGGCGTTCTCCCTGGTGGCGCCAACGCTGTGGAACGAGCTCCCCAATGAGATTAGAGCTCTACGGGACCTCCAGCAGGTCCGTAGAGCCGTGAAAACTGAGCTGTTTCGCCAAGCGTTCAAATAAGAACTGGCTGCACCGGTTGGGTCGCAGTAGCACTTGACCATAGGATGCCGCCGTATTTATTTAATTGTATTGTATTTATTGTGTTTTATATTTTGCATTCGTTGTTTTAAACTGCACGTTGTTTTAACCTGTTGCAAGCCGCCCTGCGCCGCCTCGACGGGAGGGCGGGGTAGAAATCCAATAAATAATTTTAAAAAAAAAAATTAAAAAAAATATTGGTTGAATGGCTTTCCTTTCTGCACTGAGAACATCAGCCCCACCAGACAAAAGCCACAAAATCCTGGCTATCGGCCCGGGCGTGCAAGAGGGCCGCCCACTGCCTCCTACCCGACAAGTCTGCCAGAATCCACAGCAGGGCCAAGAATTCCCTAGCAGCTAATACTAACATGGACTGACTAATTCTTTAATTCATTGATTTAAACGAAAAGTTATAAGTCTGAATACTAACTGAATACTAACTGTTAAGGACCTTTCCCTCTTGGGGTTTTAGTCATAGTGTGGGTTTAATTTTCTTGTCTTTTTATCCTGGGGTATCTTTTTCCCTCCCCTTTTCTTTTCTGTTAGTCTGTAGGTGTAACAAAAAATAATAAAGCTACCCTGTCTTCAGGGGATTACAAAAAAAAAAAAGAATTCCCTAGCAGCTGACCTGATGCACAAAAGTGGAAAGATATGAGTGCGGTCTGTCTGCAGGAGGGCCAAACACCCAATGCCTGCACACCGCCTGCAACCAAACGGGGGACTGTGTCCTGACTAAGCACGTTCAGGACCCTCAGCCTCACAGCTGCCGCATGCAAGGAACTGACGCGCCAGCTGGAACTAGAGGAGGCAGGCCTCTGTTGCCTGCTTCGCTCTTCGCAGATCGATAGATTGGCGCTTTGCGGGATGGATGGCTGTAAACAGACCTTGCGGTGCGGCAGCCGAAAGGAACAAAGCTGCTGAGGGCGTGAAGACAACTGCGCCAGAGGGTGCTGGCCTTCTGCCTGCCAGAGGCTTTAAAGCTGGAAAGAGGGGGAGAAAAAGCCGCTAAGAGCTTGTGCCGTTAGACGGATTGTGGGCAGAGACACAGCCTTCCAAAGCCAGGATCGTTAGGGGAAATCTAATGTGCCGAGCCGCGCGATGGCTGACCCGCGCCAAACAGGAGCGGTGCCAGGAAGTGAATGCCTTTTATTTATTTCACTTCAGAGCTGGAAGGGACCACCGAGGTCATCAGGTCCAACGTGGCCGGTGCAAGAGCCACAGCTACAATATCCCCAACAAGCAGGGATCCCAATGAAACTTAAAAACCTCGAGCGACGAAGAACCCACCACCTCGCGAGGAGGATGATGCCAGTGTCAAACACACCTCACCGTCTGGAAGTTCTTCCTCAAATCCAGCCGAAAGCGCCTTTGCTGTAATTTATACCCATTCGTCTGAATCCTGTCATCCAACAAGACCAAAAACATATCTGCCCCATCATCTGCGTGGCATCCCTTTAAGGGACCGGAATCTGGAAGGGACCTTGCAGGTCATCTAGTCCAACCCCCTGCACTCTGCAGGAGCAGAGCCGAAACAGAGCCCTACATACCTACATCATATCCGAAAGATGGTTGTCCAGCCTCCTCCGCTC